TATGGCAGCAATTAAACAAAATGATTAGAGCGTAACAAGGTATTTGTATGAATGTTGTGTTCTGGGCGGTACTGTGTTGGAAGGACGCTGAACTCTGTAGTGTTCCTAGGCTTTGTCCTACAAAGTCACAAAAGGTTAAATTGCAGTAGTGTTGCTCACAAAGGTGAGTTATTTTTTATGTTAGGTTTTTCTAGTTAGGTCTTGGTATGTTTTTATGGTGCATTTAATTTAATTTGCATTTCAGTTATTAGTTTTCTTTATGATATTATGCGCTTAATTTAGGAAAGTTACTATTAATATATACTGCTATGTTAATATCTGTATTACCTGGTATGGTAGTGACAGTTGTAGCTTCAGTGTGATTGCAGTCTTTTAAGCCAGTTCCTTGATGTGGATAATTAATTCTGAAGTTGGTGTGTATGTTTAACTATCTATGAATCCAGGAGGGACCATCATTAAAAGTTTAAAACTTTGATTAATAGGGATAAAACAATAGTTTGAACCATGCACTACTTTCAGATCCTTGTATTTTCCGATGGTCTTGGGCAAGTTGTTTCTAGTTTTTCATTGGCTTGTTTGTAGTTTCTCATAGGAGTATTCTGAAGTACAATTGCAATAGTTAAGACAGTTTGACTGCTTTGAAATGTTTTAATTATTCTAATTCTTCTGAACCACACTCTTCTAAAGTGAATTTGGTACTTTGTTCTTTTCAAAGCATTTGTAAAATAAAAATAAAAAGTGTTACTCAGAAGAAGAGGTAGTCATATTTTCATTTTCTATTTGTATACCGCAGTTGGACATAAGTCATCCGAGTAGAAATTTTTTTGGGCAAGAGAACAGAACTTTCTTTCACATTGTGCAAAACATTAACCTTAAGGATTGCAGAATGGAATATTTATTGATGAGGGAGAAAAGCTTAATCTCAAAGACCAAGTTACAGCTTTACACTGGTACAGATTTTTGTAACAGAGGGATGTTCTCAGTTATTGGTGGAAGGTGTGAGGCCCCTTGTGTTTGGATGCTGCCTATGGCAATCTGAAGTATGGAGTCAGGGAGTTTTCAGGATGGCAGTATCTCATATCAGCAGTTTCATGTTTGTAAAAAGTTAATCCCACTTAAAATAGTGTGAGTGGTAATGCTTCTGGAACTAGAAACAATGCTCAGCTTATTTGAAGCATGGAGAAGCCTGGTGGTGTTGGCAAATTCTGCAGTGTTTTGAAAAGCTTTGGTAAAAAATGTTAAGTCACAGCCTTGAGGAATAAAGTTCTGTTTCAGTTCTGCTCTGTTGTCTTTTGCTCAGATTCAATGAGCGCATTGCCACCGTTAGCCTGGGGTGGCTATTTAATGGAACCTGCTTGATTAAATCTATGCCACTTGCTCCCTGCCCTCAGACATTCCCCCTGTGGGCTGATCTCCAGCAGGACCTTCAAGTTGGTTGGCCCATTCCCAAGCCAATATTTCTGTGGACCAGATGAAAATTATTACAAAGACCTTGCTTTTGCTTGCCTGTCCCTAGCGTGGGTGCCTTTTGCCTTATACTAGAGCCATGTAGTTGTTGTTCAGGTTTGTTTTTTTAGCTTAATCATGCTTGATCTCTAGTGAAAAATATACTGATGCAAGATCTGTCATAAAAGGATTTATGAAAACTTTCCTATTGTATGGTTCTGTGCAAGTTCTTGAAATGTGGTCAGAGTTCACTGGAGTTTTTTTGTGTATTCACCATGAAATAGAAATACTTCCCCCTGCCTCAAGTGTTTCGTAAGGAATAGATCTTTAGGGAGTTGAACAGCATGCTTACCTATCACATATACCATTTGATGTTATTTGTTTAATTCTTACGAGTGCTAATAAACTTCCTATATTTTTTCTTTGACCATTTAATACCATTTTTCTGAGTAGCCAGAATTGTATATTTCATCAGATTGCATTGACTGACTCAATATTGAAGTTTTAAATATAGTCTTTTCTTTCTCAAATCATCTTGAGATTACTACTGAATGGGAATTATTATTAAAGTACCACTTGGTGGAGATCTTTTGGAAAGTGCTTTAAACAGCTATTATGTTTGCATAAAAACTGATTAAATTTGGAAAAGAATTCATACAGACATTTACTGCCAAAGCAAGTAAATGGTATTTATGGTGGTAAAAAATTGTTTGTGAGATCTATAGTATGATTCCTTTGCAGTTCTTTAACCTTGATAGCTGTTTATTTCAGGTAAGTATTACATTACCCTCAATGTTCACAAAACCCAGTGTTCTAGAAATATCTCATTTGCAGCTCAGTAAGTTTGCCTTCTTTTTCCACATGCTTTAACACCTTAAGTTATTGAGTTGCTCTTTTTTTTTTTTCATAATTTTGCATTTATATCTTCAAATCCTCTGTAATGTGGCTGACTATGAAGTGCTCATGGGCTTGCAGTGCTGTTACGCGATGCTGTTGAAGGTGGCATGTATCTGCTCTCTGCGTTGATCTTCAGCCTATAAATGTCTGAGCAGCTGAACGTGATGCTTCCACCTGTACAACGAGTTCAAGGGGAGCTGTGTGAGTGGGCTGGTGTGCCCCATTAAGTAGATGTAACATTCTGTGATTCTGTGCCAGAGGAAATCTATACTGCAGTGCCGTAGTGACTGCGTGGTTTTAAGGTTCAAATGCACGGGGTTCGTTCTGTACCGTATCGTTTAAACATGACCATGATTTAAAAGCTGTGACGCATTTTAAATGCCTGGAGTTAGTTTTTGTTCTGCGAACAATGTCGTTTTGTCTTCACAGTCTTGATAAACAGTCTTGAGTCACGGAGTTAGTACTTTGCAGTTTAGGTAAACTTTGGCATAGATAGCAGAACTGTATATGAGGGCAGGTGGGCATTTTTTGATTACTCTTTGAATTTTGGACTAATTAATGGAATCAGAAGTAACTTCTGTGTGCTGAGTTATGATCTTATTACCTGTAAAGTTACACATTTCTTGATTCTACATCTGTGTCTTGAGCCAAGTTCTTGTAAATGACTAATTCATGAAAATAAAGGGTTGCTCAGTGGTGAGTGAAGAAGGAATCTGATTTATCATGTTGGTAGGTCCTGGGGACTCCTTCTGCTTAGGAAGCAGGCATGTCCACTTCCAGAGTTACTCCTGAAAGTCTGCTTGGTGAACAGCTCTTAAGAGCTCTTAATGCAGTATCTGGCCTAATTTTAGTAATGGTAATTTCTTAGGCTTTCTTGTGCCCTTGAAAACTGTGTGTTTTGTTCCCTGCCCCTCCCCTACGTATGAAGCCAGAAGTAATGTGTTTAAAATACTGTGATATGAGGCTATTTTATTTTAATTAGCATAGGGGAATAAAAGTTTGGTTTAAAAGAGGAGAGTCCAATCTTATATGTTTGTCAAGTGTCTTGGTTGTTAAGATTTGATCTGAGTGTCTGAATGGGTGAATATTTTGAGGTAGTTGCAAGGCACGTTGTAAGTTGTGTCCTTCCCATTTCTTCATGGAAAATCTGTGCAGAATGAGAATGCATTTCTGTCTTTGACAGTTCCAAAATTACATAGGTCACCTCAAAGTAATTTGTTCCTCAGCTTTAGCTGCAGAAGGATCTTCTGTTACTCCAAATCTATCTGGAGAAAAAGGCCCTTCAAACCTGTAGCATAACATGCTTGGTCTTGCTTCCTTAGAGATCAATGTTGCACCAGATCCCAAACACCCTGAAACACCCTGCTTGAAAGAAAACAGATTGCAATGCTGTTACAACTTCTCTCCTTTTTTTTCTTTTTTTAATTTAAAAATATTTGAAAAGATATTCCCTCCAAAGATTTCATGTAAGTGCTTGTTTGAGGGAGGAATAACAACTATTTCTGAGTTAAGGTGCAGCATCAGGGCTCAGGTTTTCCAGTTGAAACAGCTCCTACTTTGAAGGTGGATTTGCAAGACTTGCAGAGCAACGAGTTTTAATGTGTAGTCAGAATACTTCTGAAACTTTTCTTGTCATATTTCTGCTTCAAAAACCGTAATGCAAAATAGAAGTCAAACACAAAGTTAACTATAGATATACATTGTGGATGTAGGTGCCACTGAAAATTACTGAGAATAATGATCACCTGTATTACTGATACATGCAGGCACGTACAATTTCTGACTGATCTTATTCTCTCCCCATGTTCTTCCACTCAGCTACTTCTCACCCCATGAATTTCAGAAGCTGAGGGGCCTGGAGGAGGGTGGGAAAGAGGCCTGGAATTGGGCAGAACACAGGCCTGGAATTATTAAAAGCCAGGGAGGTTGAAACTAATTGAAGTTCATTTTTCAGTGTGGAAAACCAGTTTGGGACTGGAAGAAGGGCAAATGGAATTCCACCAGAAATGCCACAAGGAAGTTGGGTGGGGGCTTTTTTTTCTTGTTCTGTTCCCGCTAAAGCACATCAAACTCTGATTATTTTAAAGGGTAGTACTGTGGTCAGGCTGAAAATTATGTTCTCTGGTTTTGTACTTCAGAGCATGCAGTTTGGATGCCGTATAGGAGTCTGTTAGTAGCCAGCACTTTTATATATAAGTATAATAAGTTAAAAAATAATGGTATTCAGGAGTAGAAGTGGGTTAACAGTGGCTTTTAAAATCAAGTAAGTACCTTGTGATTCCTAGGTATTTCTAGGAGAGTGTTCCAGGTGTGGGTTATGATTGTGCATTTTGATGTAGTAGGCAACATCATGGAATATCAGGAAAAGTGCCCTTCAGAATTCTCTATAGACATACATGCAGTTATCTGTGTGTTTTCAGAGAGAAATGGATATATGTTAACAAAGTTTCTTTATCTAGGCATTTGTTTGGAATTTTTACAGTCTATGTTAAAAAAAACCTTGCCTTTAGTGTCTAAGTGTAATTTATGCATAAAAACAGATAGGCCTTTCGGTGTCTTGATCCAGACCAAATTAAAATAAATCATTATCCTTGTATTAATTGGTGTAATATGTCAGATCTAAAAATACTCTTCTTTTTTTTTTTTTGTGTACAGAAAAGATGAAAAGGAGTATGCACTGAAGCAAATTGAAGGTACAGGGATATCCATGTCAGCCTGTAGAGAGATTGCAGTAAGTGTACATAAAGTACTTTTAATTAAAGTATTATTATTATTATTATTATTATTCAACAGATACTTTATTTTCTCTGAACTAAGTAACGTAAACATTATCTAAATGTTTTCTTTAAAGTATTCAAGCATGTGACTTTTTCATAAAATGCTTTCTAAGTAATACTCTTTTTTAGTGAAAAGAAGTGTTTTTGCTAGGTAACACTAATGCATCTTTCTGCTGTAATTTTGTTTTATCTGCTATTATTTACTGAGAAATACATGCAAACCTTTTAATGAAGATTCATTTTAAAGAAGGGATGTTTTTAAAATGATGTGAAGGAAAAAGATTCTGAAAGATTGCAACTGCCATTAGAAATCTACTTGCTAATAATGTATTTTATTTCAGACTAGAAGTAGCTTACTGTCCTTTAGTACCTGAGAACAGTTTGTTCTGTTAAGTACAGGGAAATTTCATAAAATTTCATTTGATTTCAGACTAGAAGTAGCTTGCTGTTCTTAAGTACCCGAGAACAGTTTGTTCTGTTAAGTACAGGGAAATTTCATAGCAAAGTAAAAAACAGCTTTATATGTATTTTCTTTACGTGTGTCTCAGGATTAAAAAAAAGGATTCAGAAATTGCACTTCTGAGCACAATAGTGCTCATTCCTGCAAAGTTGGTAAAAATCAGGTATTTTTATATGAAGGTAGAATTTGATCTTTAAATATTTCTTTTACTGTCAAAGCACTGGATAGCATGTAAAATTTTGTTATGCAAGAATTTCTTACGTTGCCAAAAAAGTGCACTTACTTGCTGAAATATTTACCTTGTTTTAATGCTGTCGCTATGCTGAGGGCTGTTGAAATGTGTGTTAAGATTGTGCCAAGATTGTGCCTAAAGCTTTTTATAACCTGGTAGTATTGCACTGAAATACAGCAACTCATGATGTTTGTGAACTGAGCAAACCACTGGATTGTGTTTGTGCCCACAGTAATTCTGTATGAAGAGACTTAGCGGATAAAAGTACCAGTCTTTTAAAGTCAGGTCAAGGTCACTCGTGGATTTGAGAGGTGGCTGCGTTGCTCTCAGTCAGTTTACACAGAATCTACACAGTTGACCTAGTGTTTGTGCCTTTGGAGGAAATAAGAAATCCTTTTTTAACACTGCTACTAGCTTATATTCTTCTTACTATAGAGTCGGTTTTGACAGCATTGAGGGTTTTTTTTGTTTTGTTTTATTTTGATTCTTGTCCTTTGTTTATTTTAAATTGTACCACTATGGAGATATGTGGAATAGTCCAAAGGAGACTTTCCTGTTGTCGTGATAGCACTGTGGTATGGAGCTGGTTCTGTCATACCTAGACATAACGTCATAAGGAAGTAGAGAATGTAAAATTATTTTTTTTTCTCTGAAGATGCATCACCATTTCAGTCTTTTTAAAAAAAATATTTTAATTCTTTAAAAACTCTTTTATTGATGAAGCTTTGTATAAGGCTCAGTGCAGCCTGGGAAATTTCATAGCTACTGTGTAAGTTGCTTGAATTCTCTCAATGCTGTTTCCCGAAATTCTTCCCTGAATGATATTTTACTCTTCTTCAGACTTTATTGTAAAACTCTATAACCTGGGATTATGGCGCAGGTCACTGCGTGCAGCAAGCAAAATTTCAGGTTGGTTAAATATTAGAAATGTGAAAAAAGGTAAAGGTGAAATAGTTGAAAAAGAAATGTGAACTTTGTCATACAGAAACAGGCAGGCTCAAGTGCATTTTCCGTAAAGAGCAACAGACTTATAATTAATGCATTATTAGTTAATCTTGTATTTAAAGGCTTAGATGGGTAACAAAGAGGGTAATAAAAGATTATCATCTTGGAAGAGGCTACGTTAAAACGTCATGAGTAGTTCTTTGGGTGTTTAACCTGCCCACTACAACCCTCAACCCAACATCAAAAACAACCCCAGACCCCACGTGTATTCGTTGGACACTGATAATATGAAAAAAGCACCAGTGTGTGTGGTTCTATGTGTGATTCAGAATATTTTAATGATTTTGTAACCTGAGGGCACTTGATGATATGCTCGAGAAATGGATTGCTGAACTAAAAGGCATTCAGTTTTGCAGTCCAAGACTATTCGGTATGTAGTATTGCCTAGACACTCAGAATAAGATCTGCTGGCTAACTTGCTCAAAGAGAAAAAGCAGATGGCTCCTCTCTTGTGATGTTACAGAACAAGCTGGTCTGTCTTTGCTTAGAACTTTGAAAAACATAAAGCCTCCTTTACCACTATTAGTATGAGCTTTTCCTGGAAGAAAGCTTGTATCAGTGAAAGCATAGTATAGGCAGTGGCTCCTGGGGGGAGGGATAATTACTTGCTTTCGACTGTGCTGGAGGAATCCGTAGTTCAGCCAATTTTGTTGTATTGAATATGAAAGTGCTGGAGGGGATTCTTATATGTTAGAGCTGTGTGAGTGCTGAGAAAAATACGCTGATTTCTTCCCTGTAACCCAAGTTTGTTCTGAAGATAACTGAAATGCCAACTATTTCTGTGTTCTTGTTAAAAGGCAGGTTATTGCTTGGCTTAAACAACAGCATTTTTGAAGGGTAGAACTGTAAAATATGAATGAGTTATGAAATACAGAGTTTTAATTTTTACATGGTTATTTAGTTAATGAATGTGACATCTCTTTCAGCTCAAGACTTCTCTTAGCTTATTTTGGAATAAGTGATGGGTGACATGTTTTCCTCATTGCTTGAACATCAGAGTGGGATTTCTAATTCTTCTTGTAACTTGGGCAAAAGAGGTTCCTGAATTTCTAGACCTATTTATAGATAAAGCAGCTCCAGCAGTTGGTTAATACAGCTTACGTTGAAGAAGATGGAAGAGAAATAAATTACATTTTTAGACATTAAGACCTTAAGAAAACTGTTTACTTTCAGGGATTGGACATCAGAGCATGTTCATTGCAAGGTGGTTTAAAGATACATAGGAAGCCTGCGCAACAAAAGAGCCCGTGGTTATGCTACTGTGTATTAGGGAGAGGATTTCTTGGTGTAGGCGGAACTTTCCTGTATCTTTTGATAGAAGGAAGCAGAAGAGTTGAGTGTAAAATTAAAAAATATCCAGTGCATGTTTTGTGAAAAGTTTTTCTTCGTTATACTGGAAAGGGAACTTAAATTATTTTCTGGGTGAAAGGAAGACTTTTATTCAGTTCTGCTGCCTTTGTGTTTTACTCTTTGCTCCATGCCTTAGCCAAGTAGGTTTCTTAGAATGACAAGTGGAGACAGAAGAGAGAGACCAGAGGGGTATTACTCGTTAGGACTGTTTTATCCTGTGGAGTATCTTGGCCATCATCTGTTAAGGACCAATAGCTATAACTTTAGAAGTCTGCAAACAGTTAATGGTAATGGAATTTTGTATTTATTTATCAAAAAATCACCAGGATAATACAACTTTATCTGAGATTTCTTATCCCAGAGGCTTTATTTCCTGTGAGGAGATTATGCTGGTTACTTCAAGTACTTTGCTTTCCACAATGAAGAGACTATAAAATTTTAAGTGTGGATTTTGGGGGAAAAAAATAATTCTGAGAAGAAAAGTCAAGCCTTTTCTTAATCAATGCCTTTCACTGACCACTTTCAAAACACCTGGATATGTAGCGTGCCCCTGAGCAACTTGTTCTAAGAGCTTCGGTGCAATCATGATATATAAGACTTGCTAACTGTGTAAGAAAAGTACAGTCTCATTGTATTAATAAAAGGAGAGCAGGAGAAAACAGTAAAACGTCTTTGCTTGAATTTAATTTTTTGTTTATTCAGAGAAAGAAATTAATTTGGAGACTGATTTGGACAGTGGATTTTACGCTTATGCTATGGGACCACAAACTGCCTGCAGCTCTCTTTGTTGGAACTTACTGTAGTGGCTAAGTCACTTCCAAAATTTGCAGTTATCTGTTGCTTTTCCCATGAGGAATTGTAGAAACCAAAGACTGAATGGTAGTAGAGGTTAATCTGGAAATTCTCAGAATAACTGCAGTGTTGAACAACTTGGGGAGCTACAGTATCGTTATTGTTATTGGCTTATTTAGCAGAGATGGTGGAGTTTAGGATCTGAAGTGGAAGGAACATGTCAAAAAGCAGGATCACAACCCTGGACTTTAGGAGAGCAGACTTCAGCCTCTTCAAATATCTGCTTGGAGGAATCCTATGAGATACAGCCCTGGAGAGAAGAGGGATCCAGGAGAGCTTATTGTTATTCAAGGATCACTTTGTCCATGCTCAAGAAAGTTCCATCCCAACAAGGAGGAAAGTAAGCAAGGGCAGCAGGAGGCTTGTATGGATAAACAAGAAGCTCCTTACTGAAGCCAGACATAAAAGGAATCCTATATGAGCAAGGATCAGCAGTACAAGAGAAATATAGGGATGCTGTTTGATCTTGCAAGACTAATGGTTAGGAAAACCAAGGCTGACCTGGAGTTGAGCCTTGCCAGGAACCTGAAGGTCAACAAGAAGGGATTCTGCAAGTATATAAACAGCAAAAGAAAGACTAAAAAAACCATGAGCCTGCTGCTGAATGGGAAAAAGTTATATGGAAAAGGCCAAGGTACTCAATAACGTTTTTTTGCCTCAGTCTTTACTGTTAAGACTAGCCTTCAGGAATCTCATGCTCCTGAGATCAGAGGGAAAGTTGAGCAAAGTAGACTTACCTTGGATGGAGAAGAACGAGGAGCACTCAAACTGGACATACATAAATCTGTGGTGCCTGATGGATTGCACCCACAAGTGCTGAGGGAGCTGCTTGGATGTGATTATGAGACCACTGTCAATTATCTCTGAAAGATCATGGTGGTTGGAAGCTGCTCCAGAGGAATGGAAAGGAGCAAATATCACCTCTCTTTCAAAAAAGGAAGATCAGGGGAACTACAGCTGCACCTCAGTTGCTGGGAGGATGAAGAAAATCTTCCTGGAAAATATTTGCAAACATCTGAAGGACAAGAATGTGACTACGAGTAGTCAGCATGGAT